TTCAAACGGGAAATTTGATTTTAAAAAACCAACATTCGCGTGTTTGGCAGCTTCCTCGACAAAGCGCTTCGGTGCCGAGTAGGTTGCCTTAGCAGCGGCCATCGGTCCCATTAGAGGGTCATCATCCCCCTCATCATCGTCATCACCCGTGTTGATCGACGTCAAATAATCTGATTTTCGATTACCACGAACACTTCCATACACATCCTTAATAATAATCATAAGAATAATTGGTGCCAACGATCCAACACCAATACAAAATGAACAACACAACACTCACCGTATCATAACCGCCCGCCGAACCGAATGCAATTTTGTCAATTGTTGATTTTCCATTGCTTATATTCTCACCGTTCTCTGAGTCATCATTCAGCTGACGTTTACGCGATTGAAGCTGTGCTATTTGTGCTTCCAACTCTGCAATTGAAAACAATGAACCAAACACAATCTTTGGTTTATTGTCATAAATGATCCAAAACCGTTTCTCTTAATTTCAAAACAACGTTACACCTCATAATTTTCTCACAGTGAAGCCTTTCAATCATTATGTGAATAGGTTAAAATATGTTAACTCAACATGTAATTGTTACTAATCTGGAAATGCTCGAACTTTCAAAATGAACTATCAATTTGAAGCATTTAGGCTTGAACTGAATGTTCAAAAGCATCCATAAAATGAAGAACAATCAAATATTAACCATCTCGCGTTTTCGCAGCCATTTTGGTAGTGTTCAAGTGACTGAAGTACAACCAATCTGAATGATACGATGACACGTGACGATACGATACAGTTTATTGCACAAATTTACCACTTCGCTTTTCTTTAAAACTTTCAAAATAAGTGAAATGTTTTTGTTGTGTTCAACTGAAAATTTCACTAAATCAGAAACACAAATGAATAAGCACCACGAAATGAACAACAGCAACGAACAAACAAACGTACAACAGCACGACCGTATTAAGCATTATAAAACTTGCGAACACTTCTACTGCATGAAAACCCGTTGATTATTCTAAATCAGGTTGAAGAAAAGGACGGGATAATAAGGAAATGTTCTTTCAGTTAAGTTCAAAAGAGCTTGAACAGGTTGCTTTGAAGAGTCTCTTATAATCAGACCTAGACACAACCCACCAACGTGATATGTTCGCAAATAAGCACAGAACGAAGCGGAAGAGTATTTTTGGATGTGTGATACAAGGGAATATGCAAATTTTAACAAAAACAAAGAGGAAAACTCAACCAATACTTCAAGAAAATCCTGAGAAAAGTTGAAAGAAGCAGTCGGCGGCTCTGATCGTTTATTGCCAATTGTTCAATTCCCATTCGCAATTGGACCGCTCTCAGACTGAAGTTCGGAAGACTTGTAAAACTATTATTGATACGTAGGGGTAGTGACACTTCGCCAAGTACGAACGGACAGACAGTTCGCCAAGTG